CTACCTGCCCCCAGTATTTCTGTAACATGCCCGTCAGTTCCTATCCATCACTGACCCTCTCCATTCTGCAGGAGTCATGACATGTGTCACCTCAGAAGGGGCACTTTAGCTGTCAGATGTGATGGGTCAGGGAAATAGCAAACCTCTTGGTTTAAACAACTTCTGACCTCTGACCTCTGGCTGTCTACTGTGACCCCTAAGGCATTTCCATTGGATTTTTTCAAGCGAATAGCATGGAAATTGCAATACTATTCAAGCAAAGGAAACTTGGTTCGTTCCTAACTTGGTTGCGGGCCCAAAGCACGATGGCTTTGGCTTCTCTTAGTTATGAATACCTCTCTCTCTCTCTCTCTCGTGCATGCGAACACACATAGCCACATATACACACCAGTAAGGGTCAACAGAGTTCAAAAGGTTGTGACGCTTTTAACTGGTTGGTGGAAAAGTAAGAGCTATAAAGAATCACAGAATCCCTAGTGTGGAAGCAGGCCATTCAGCCCATCAAGTCCACACCGACCCTCCAAAGAGCATCTCACCTCCCCACCCTATCCCTGTAACCCTGCATTTCCCATGTCTAACCCACCTAACCTCCACATCCTTGGACACTATAGACCACTTGGCCAATCCACCTAATCTGCACATCTTTGGACTGTGGTAGGAAACTGGAGGAAACCCACGCAGAGATGGGGAGAATGTCTGTCTGAAAGTTTGCACAGTCCCCAAGGCTGGAATTGACAAGGGTCCATGATTCTGTGAGGAAGCAGTGCTAACCACTGAGCCACCATGCCAACCCTAAAGAACTGCATGAGTTCACATTCTACACAGGATCCCATCATCCAAGCAGCTTTAACTGTAGCTTGTGTATTCAAACTACCAAGACTTCAACAGGAAGAATAAGACAACCTCAGATTATATATGGTTAAAGGGGAGTCACAGTACTATCCAGATAACAGGTGCTCAATGGAAGTAGTCTTACCTCAGTCAGAAAACCCTTGGTTCAAGTCCAACTCCCATAACCAGAGCAGATACATAAGCCGACACTTCAGTCAACAGCATCCTTCATCTCAACCAAAACACTGCCTACTCTCTCTGGATGACGTAAATGATGTCAAGTTGTTATTTCAAAGAGAAACACAGTTTTCTAATGAACTTAGCCGATAGATCTTTCTCAACTGACATCATTAAAAAACAGATAACTGTGTTATCTCTGACTCCAGCATCGGCAATTCTTACTATCTAACCTAGTTATTACCTTATTGATGTTTGTGGGATCTTGCTGTGTACAAATCACACATCAGGTTTCCTATATTGCAACAGTGATGACACTTCAATGTTCTTCCTTCATATTAATGGCAGCTTAAAGTAAAATGGTAGATCGAGGAATTTCACAAGACTAACATTTTTGATGTTGATGTCGCAAAGTGCTATTTTCAGTCAAAACCCTTCGAAGCAGAATTTTAAAAATTATGTCGTTCAATGAAAAATAATAAAAATAGCAAATGCTGACTCTGTAGAACGCTCTAGAAACACAAGGTGCAGACACAGGGGAGGAACCTGTATTTATAGCACAGCCTGAATATGCAAAATCAGCAGATTCAAACTCCACACTGCAACCAATTTTTCTACAGCCACAATCAATTCCATATATTAGCAATTTTTCTAGGTATATAAACAAGTTCATTAAGTGTTCAGCATAGAAACAGGCCATTCAGCCCAAATGGTCTATGCTAGAGTTTATATTTGTCATAAACCTCCTCCCAGCCCTCATTGTCTCTCTTTCAGCATAACCTTCAATTCCTTTCTCGCTCATGAACTTATCCAGCTTCCCCTTAACAGCATCAATGTTCTTCAGCTCAACTTCTAAAGCATGGCCTCATCAATTGCCTAATGAATTTATTTGTCCTTTTTCTGGCCTTGAATTTTGGTCTCCCCTCTAAACTAGAAATGAATTGGCTCAATTTTCAGCTGAGGCTAAAGTCCCACAGCTGGGGCAAAAGCAGGAGCTGAACCTGAGGAGAGCAGGACTCTGGGGTAGCATTCCATTGACAGATGCCGGGAAAGTGGCCAACCTGCCTATGCAGGGGGTCAGAGGTAAACAGGTTCTGCAATGCCACCACAAGGAACATGGCATCTGAATGACAGGGAATAATATATGAAAGCCAAGGCCAGGAAGATGATCGACAACTGTCAGAGTAGGATCCCCCGTGCACTGACAGTGTCTTTGTCGCCAGGGTGGGCCATATTGTGCCCATTGAGGAGAGCTACCCTGCAAACCCATAAAAGGTGGCAGCCAGGGGTCAATGGGCAATCATCTGGCAGCGAGACCTTCTGATGTAGGTAAAATGCCTGTGTGGGTGGTGGGAAGAGGCCCTTACTTGGGGTCTTAAACTGCCCAGTTCCTATCTCATTGCTCTCCCCTGCCACATGAATGGGGGGATGGAAGTTCAACCTGTCACCCTTGTCAAGCTTCTTCACAATTTTAAGGGCACTATCAGCTCACTCTCAGGCTCCTATTATCTATGGGGAAAGCCTGTTCAGATGCTGTCGTCCCGGTGAACACTTTTTGTACCCTCTCCAGTGCCCCTCTAGCCTTTCTGTTACAGCTGAGGTGGCATTCTATCTTGCAGGGCAATGGGTTAGCCCAGTGCTGGGTAACTGAGCATTAAGCAGGGCCTGGTTGGTCTCAGGACCTGGCACGCTCCTCTCAGTCAGAGCTTTTAGTTTCTGCTTGCCATTTTCAATGGCCTCCAGATATCACAGCCTTCAGCCAATTGTCAATGTCTGCCATCTTCAGCTCTCCCTTGCAGGTGTCCTTGTAGCAGTGGCACCGGTGCTCTTCATGAGCTTGTGGTCACTTCACTGCGGGCAAAGTCATTGGTTATGTGGCTGACATTCATCTGCCAAATGTGGCCTATTATAGAGACCAGAACAGTGTAGGATCGAGAGAGGGATAACACTGCACAAAAACCTTGCACTAGCATGGTTGCATAAATATTACAACACCTCAGAACACACTGCCATCTCAAATCAACATTCCTGAAGAAAGGGAATGACACGGTTTGAATCTGCCTCTGCACAGAGTTCGATGGGGCTCCTGCTGTGCTTGTAAGAATCAAAAGAGCCCACATGATCTGAGAGAGTCATATAGAGTTGTACAGCACAGAAACAGACCCTTCGGTCCAACCAGTCCATGCCCACCATAATCCCAAAAGAAATTAGTCCCACTTGCCTGCGCTTGGCCCAAATCCTCTCAAACATTTCCTACTCATGCACTTATCCAAATGTCTTTTAAACATTGTAACTGTACCCATATCCATCACTTGCTGTGGAAGCTCATTCCACAGACAAACCACGGTGTGTAAAAAAAGTTTCCCCTCTTGTCTCTTTTAACTCTCTGATGCTAAAGGGTGGATTTATTTTCTGCTACCATTCCTGCACTCAGGCCAGTTAATGGTCAAAATAGTGGGACAACAGTATTAACCCAGCTTTCAATTCCCCTGACCTTGGCTTTCCTTCCCTTTCTTGAAGGTGATGGCCAATGGATGCCTATCGTCTGTCACTATCTAAAGGCAAATGGGCAGAGTGAGGCTGTCCTGTTGTCTCCTTTCCCTGTGGTCCTGTCCTGCTTTTTGGCATTCTCCAGGAAATGGTATGTGTCGGCTCACAGCATTGGCATCACAGAAGGAATAGGGCCCGGAAGACTCCCTCCAAAATAGCTCCCATTCAATTAGCTGTGTTAGGCTCGGACTCTGATAAGACATTGGCTTATTTCACTTTAGGATTGCTCATGGTCTCTCGGGGCGCTGCAGTGGTGCTCCTGTGGCACTTGGGAATTGACCTCCCGACCTTTGAGGGAGGGGGGCAGGGGTGTGTTGATATGATATTGTGAAAGGGTCCCTCCAAAACATCACCACACTGAAGAAGCTCCAGCTCCGAGTAGCTTTTATATTAAATATAGACGCGACTAGTCTTGTCACTTTGAGGCAGACTGCCAGCAGTCCACAAAGAGTTAACAGGTTTTGACACAAACTGTCAGCAAAATGGGAAACTGCAGCTTGAGGTTGTCCTAATGGCACAGGGCTGTCAATCGGAACCCGCAGGCCTGTAACATCTCGCAAACACTGACATTGCAATTCGGGTGTTAATGTTGTGTGAGCACTGACCTTTGGCCTTTGCTGGCTGAAAGCTGCAACCCTCAGCCGTGCTGTATCGATCGACCGGTCAATGGCGTAACTCAACCGGACGACATTTGATAAACACTCTGTGAAGAGGGTTTCGAGGACAAGGGGATGGCTCCAATTATAATCACTCATAACTGCCAGCTGTAATAGATTGGGCATTGAGCAGAGCTTCAATCAGCAGAGGCACCTCTTTTACAAAACTGAGGATTTCAAGAACATGTTTCATTCACATTTACACAAAGAAACTACTGGGGACCAGCAACATTTTCTGGGACAAGGCAAAGAAATAGCACTGAATTCATCGAATCATAGAATTGGACACTAAAGAAGGAGGCTATTTGATCCATTATGATGATGCTAGCCCTTTGAAGTAGCTCTCAAATTAACTGTCCTCTTAGCCTTGTAAATATTTCCTCCTCTCCTATTAATGCAAATTATTTCCGAAAGTCACTGTTGAATTTGCTTCCACTCCTTTCAGGTTGCGAATTCCAGATCAAATCAACACATGAAAGCATTCCGCCTCCTCTTCTCCCAGTCTCTTTTGCCAATTGTCTTAACTTTATATCCTTGGTAACACACTCTGGTGGAAATAATTTTTGCCTGTCTACAATATCAAAACCAGTCATAAATTTTAGATACCTCTCTTAAATTTCCCTTTAATATTCTCTGCTCTGACTAGAACAGTCTCAGCTTCTGTAGACAGGTTTAAGACAGCATGGCCTAATTTCCGAATGGTAATTCGGGCCTACTGTAGGAATTGGTCAAAGGAGGGTGGGGGTAGGGGAGATAGAGGAGAAATCTTATTGCTTGATCACTTACTCGCAACTTCCAGCGATGCGTTTCGACTGACCGCCTCCCCGAGGTAATTCCTGGCCAGACATACGTAGACGCCTTCATCCGGCTTGCTCCTCCGGCCGTGCACAATGCGCAGGAAGAAGAGCGATCCACTGGGGAGTAGCATGCGATGGGAGCGAGGGTCATCCTTGTCTGTCTCCACTCGCTCTCCATCCTTGTACCATTCAATGATGGGGGTGGGCCGTCCTTCTGCTTTGCAGTTTAGTGTGGCTGGCTCCCCTTTCGATACAATCAGGTCCGAAGGGTGCTCAATGACCCGGGGTGCAGAGTCTTCCAGACGGAGCCTAGAACCTAGAAAGAAAACCACATATAATGTTAACAAATTAGATTTCTCACTGTGACTGCCTAGCTTGCTTAGCCTTGATACTTAACCGACAGTATCGCTGGAAGGATTTGTTAACCATCACCTCAGAGTCTGAAGTCCACGTTCAGTGGGGCATACACAAGTAGGTACAATTTCCTACCATCGCTGCAGGAATTGCTGTAGTTCGAAGAGAATCCCAAACAACACTTTCACAGGCTAGAAATGCAGCTTTACTAGTGTGGCCCATACCCGAACAATTTTTTTTATTCAAATAAATACTTAATTCATAAGAATATCTTTATATACATACATGGTCACTAAAGCAGTTTGGTTCTGTACCGTGACATATGAAGAAATAAACAAACACTGGAGTTTGACTCTATCCAGCAAACAAACCAAAGGCATCTCTGGCTTGTACAAGACTATATTTGCATAATTTTGGGGAACGGACCCCCATTTAACTTCGGCCTTTTGCAGTAGTCTTTCCCCACTGTGGCTTAGCAGCAGCTGCCCCAAGCATTTAGTGCGTCCCTCAGCACGTTGTTCTGGGCCTTGGAATGTGCCAGCCTGCAACCCTCAGTTAGGGTGAGCTCCTTGCTGTGGAAGACCAACACATTTTAGGCAGACCAAAGACAGTCTGTCTTTCTCCCAGTTGATGTTGGTCTCGGTGTGCATCTCAGAGTACAGAGTCCTGTGTTATGGAGCTGCTCGAGGTGAACCTTGACAAAAACTATTGCATCTTTCTCCAGGCTTCTTTTGCAAAGGCACATTCCAGAAAGAGGTGTGTGACAGTCTCTACCCACTACAGCCACTTCGAGGGCAGCGTGCAGTGGCGCGGAGAGTCTGGACGTGCATGAGGATCTCACAGATAGTGCCTTTCTCACCACCAACCAAGTGAAAACCTCAACCAGGGAAACCTCAGAATAACCGCAGGGAAGGTAACAGAACAGGCACTACAGGAATTGAAGTTTCGTCCCAGAGATCGTGACTGTGAAACTATCATTGATTGTGAGAAAAACTAAATCTAGTTCCTTTACCTTTAGGGAAGAAAATTTGCCTCTTTGCCTGGTCTGTCCTGCACGTTACTCCAGATCCAAAGCAATGTGAGCGAGTGCCCTCTGAAGTGGCCGAGCAAGCCAGGTTCAAGAGAAATTTGGGATGGACAACATATGCGGGTCTTTCCAGCAATGCCCACAACTCAAGAAAGAGTAAAAAGGTACTGGTCACCATAGCTCCATGGTGAGAGAGAGGAAAATTATCCATAGTCCTGAAGGAAGACTCTGCATCCAGACTTGCACTTTCCAAAAGTAAAAATCACCAGATAGCAATGGGAACGAGTGGCAACAATGGGCAATTGTTTACTGCTATTTAGACTAGTGCACTGCAGAATGAAATCACTCTTCGACACATACTGAGCTACATAAGGAGACATTAATACAGGTGACCAAACACAAATTGTCAAAGAATAGATTTTAAGGAACCCCTTAAAAGGAGAGAGATAAAAACAAGGAGTGATTTCTAGAAGAAATTTCAGCATTTAAGGCCAAGACAGGTGAAGGCACACAGTCAATAGAGTGCACAGGATTTGGAATTGGAACAACACAGAGATCATGGCTGCTCGTAGGTCTGAAGGAGGCTACAATAGCAGCGATGATTGAAGTCTTGGAGAAACACAAAGGTGCACAATTTGAATTTTTAAAGTGACTAGATGCCAATGTAGATCAATGGGCACAAGGTGATGGGCAATCAGGACTAGAGAAGAATTAAGGTGCAGGCAGCAGAATCTAGGGTGAACTTAATTTTATTTACAGAGTGTGGAAGATGGGAGCTCCATTAAAGCTTGTTTGAGATCTGCCAACTTTGCCAGTCCCCCATTCCAACTGAGAGCCTCACCTACCTGCACTGTTCAGAACCACACCAGCAGTGTATTTAATCAGACAGGGGAGACAGCTATAAGTCAACTTGCTGTTATCAGTGTAAACCCCTCAACATCTTTTAAAGGGGTACAATGATCATAGAAAGTTTGTGTGAAAATGCACTGCCTGGGTAGGTAGTGGAGGCTGGAAGTCTTACAACTTTCAAAAAAAAAATTGCATGAGTACTTCAAATATCATGACATTCAAGGATACGTGACAAGTGCAGGAAATTGGGATTAGTATAATAGTTATGTCGGTGCAGACTTGATGGGCCAAAGGGCCTTTTCTGCACTGTATGAATCTCTGAAAAGCAAATTAGAAAAGATTGGCCAAACACAGGCATTATGTTAGTCGATCTGGCCAAGTTTGAGTTTCACCATTTCCCTGGACAAAATTGTTTACCAAGAACCTCATGTCATTGTCTCACCAATTACGCTGCATTTTTTTTCCCTCTTTATTCATTGACAGGGTGAGGGTGTCACTGGCTAGGCCAGCAACTGCATTGCTGTGGGTCTGGAATCACATGTAGGCAAGGATGGCAATTTCCTTCCCTAAAAGGGCATTAGTGAACCAGTTGGGTTTTTCCTGACAATCGGCAGTGAATTCATGGTCATCATTAGACCCTTAATTCCAGGTACTTATTGAATTCAAATTCCACCATCTGCCGGGGTGTGATTCTAACCCAGGTCCCCAGAACATGATCTGGGTCTCTGGATTAGCAGTCTAGTGATAATGACACTAGGCCATCGCCTCCCCGAGAATGATGCATGACCACTCTAAATCAAAACGGAAAGATACCACTGCATTTACGTCTGACGGAAATGGCCTCATTTCCCAAATATAACCTGGTTTGGCTGTTGTGTCTTTATCTCAGTCTGTGGGAGTCTAACTGCAATTTTAAATGTGTATTCCACTTAATACGAAACCCCTTCGTTTGACAGACAGATTAATCATGGCACAATCAGCTGAAGTTATCTCTCACTGCCCTGAAGTGGCTTGCAGGTACAACAGTGGGAAACTGAGCATTCTGCTCTCAGGAATGCTCTCCTTATCTCCCCAAGCCTGGCGTCTTCACCTAAATACAACTTAATGCTAATATCATCCATTTAATCATTGAAACACAGCATATTCACTCACAATGTGCCCTTTTCAAGCAGCACATAAAGTCAATTACTGCAAAAGTGAAGAGTTAGACTGCACATCGTACCCTTATTATAACACTATCCATCTAATGGGCCCCATACTCATTATAGCTCGACCTCTGTCACAATGAGGGCAGCTTTTAAAGCCCATTCAGCATCAGGATTACCAACCCTGCAGAATTGTCCTGAAGTCTCCAAGAATTAAAGATTAATCTCCATGACATTGCTGCAAGCAACTCTAGGAATAGCAACATTAAAAAAAAAATCGTGTGAGAGTTTCATCATTTTCTTTCAGTTATGGATGGTAAAAATATTGCAGCTGGGATAAAAAATGGTTTGCCAGACAGTCAAGGGCCATCCAATTGGGTAATGAAGAGCCTATTTGTTACCCAAATAGCGTGGGAGGGTGGTAAGTCACACAGATCAGGAAGGGTAACGTACAGACATTTCAATTAGCAACAGAAATAGATCAGTCTGCCAGCCAAGCCTTCACCACTATTCAATAAGATCATTACTGCTCAGTTTGAATTCATAATTTCATATTCTGATCTTTGAATCCTATCCCAACAAGAATCTATCCATTTCTCTGCCTGAACAATGTTCCATGAGACCCCACCTCCACCACATTTTGAGGCAGAGAGTTCCAAAGTCACACAGTCCTCAAAATCACAACAACGTATCGGCAATTACATTCTCTCATCCTGCCACGTGTTTAATTTTCAAATTGAATGGCTCCATCTAAACAGTCTGGAATGTTTATCCTTAAAAATGTTTCCAAAAACTTTAAGAGGTTATGATCAGTATATACAATGATCTCAGACACATCACTGACAATATACAATGTTGAAATGTTGCAATGGCAACACCAACCTCAAGGTCTCCTTCTCAACTATGGAATATTTCAGCTGATGATTAATCATTTTTTTTGGAAAATTAGCCAACAGGTCTTTCTATCTTCTCGTCGTCTTCTTGCAAAAGAACAGTACCGACACCCACATCATGCGCATCGCTAGCCACTTCAAATGTCTTTGCATAATTAGGTGTGCCTAACAGTGGGGCAGGGGTTAAAACAGGTTTCAGGCTGTCAAATACAGTATGATAGTCCTCTGTCCACTGCAATTTTCTGCACTTCTTCAACAGGTCAGTCAGTGGAGCAACCACATTGCTAAAATTCAGTAAGAACTTCTGATATTAAGAAACACCCAATCCCAGGAACTGTAGAATTCCCCTTTCGTCAATGGAACTCCCCGATAACCTTGGTTTTCGCATCCCATGGGGCCATCCGTTCACCTCCAATGACATGGCCCAGGAACGTGACTTGGGCTTTTGTGAACTCTCTTAGCCAGGGTTATCACTAAGCCTGCCTCCCGAAATTGATCAAACAATTCCGACAGATGCTCCAAAATGTTTCTTCTATGCGTGACTGAAAATCACCAGATTGTTGATGTACACCACACAATTGGGTAATCCTGAAATGACTTTATTGGTTAGTCTTTGAAATGTGGCCGATGCATTTTTCATAACAAATGACATGACTTTAAACTGGTACAGTTCATTCGGTGTCAAGAAAGCTGAAATTGTCTTTGCTCTTTCGTATAAAAAGGTACCTGCCAGTATCCTCGGAGTACAAACAACTTAGAAATAAGTTGCTTGTCGCACCTTCTCAATATGGTCTTCCAAATGTAGAATAGGATACGAGACTTGGTAACTGCACTTACTTTGCCACAGTCCACATGATCATTGGGTACTGTCTTGTTTTGGCACCATTACTCTGGGTGAACTCCATTTGCTGCAAATGACTTCCATTATATTGTCTTTGAGCATGTATTCAATCTGTTTTTGAACCTGCTCCAACTTTAGAAGTTAAATCTATAAGGATGTTGCTTAATTGGAACATCATTTCCAATATCTACATCATGCATAATTAGG